TACGGGCACTTCAGATTTTTGTCCAGATGAGCACCCTTACTTCTTAATGCATGCTGCCACCTGTAAGTCTAGGTACGCACTCCTAAACACCTTCGTAACACTTGATTTTTTTATTTTCTCACTACCATTCTGCAAAGACCCACCCTACTCTGCCTCTGATTGGCTAGTGTTTGTTGTCTTTGTTGGTTAGGTTAAGGAATGAGGAGTGAGGAGTGAGAGGGTTAGGGTTAGAAAAAAAAAAGTCAGGGTCAGAGCCAATCAGGGGCAGTGTAGAGCGGGACTTCATGTGTCTTCTTAAACAAGCCAAAAGGGGTTGTGGTGCTGTTGTGGTTATGGTTTCTGCTGAATTAGGGTACTGGCACTATTTTTGGTCCAATTCAGGCACTGATTGAAGTGAATATTACTAATGCTCGTGAATACTAACACTTCCTATCGTTTGATATCAGTGCATCATCATCACGCTTCTGCTTCACCCATTTATGTTTGGATGTCTTGTTGCATTAAGCTTCCGCTCACAGACAGGTGACTGAATATTGTCTTTAAGAATGTAATATTATGGAGAAGAATACATGGACAAGTTAAAAAAAGTTAATTTTATTTGTGTGAATTCCTTAATATATATAGTGCAGTAAATTTACATGTAACATGGACAACGATATATATCCATTTGTAATGTATAAGTAGGGATAAATAATTGGGAATTGGCTAAAATGAAATGCAAACATCCTATCCAAAATGTTCAATTCAAATGCAGTGAAACCATAACTCAAATAATGTATTAATCATAACTGATTATAGCATGTAGGCTACAAACACTTGAAAACCCTCTGTTTCTGTACTGCAGCCATCTAGCAGAGACCTCTGTATTCTTTGAGTCATATGAAATTTCATGAATTCCTTTGATTCTGTTGTACGGGCCCAGGTCCCTTTTGCTTTACAATATATAACTGGGCCCTCTTAATGACAAAAGCTTTTTACGATAATGCCAAATACCTGAGAGAGCACTCTGTCCTTTTTTAAAATATATAATCACGTCTGTATAGTTCATTTGGTTAGAAGTGGTCCCACCTTCCTGTTCTCCCATAAATCCCATTTTACAGTCTGTTTCTTATTGTGGAGTGAACACTGACCTTAGCTGAAGCGTGAGAGGCATTAATGTTTTCCTGGGCTCTACTGAGACTTCCTTGAGTTGTTGCTGCACCCTTGGAGGAATCCTGGACAGATTCACAGCCGCTCTGAGATTTCTCCTTTTGCAGATAACAGCTCTCACTGTGACTGTGCGCAGTATCCAAGCTTTAGGAATTGCTTTCTAACCGTTTGTAGAGTGATGTACAACATATTCCTTCCACATTTCTTTCGATAGATGCATCATTAGATTGTAGGAACTTTGTGGTCACTGTGGAGAAAAGGTTCTCCAGCCTGGCTGTGTCCAATCAGCTGAACATAATTAACAATCAAACTAGGTGCATTGGCTGATGGAGAAAGTGGCTCAGATAACTTTTTAATATACATTTTGCCAATATATCCAATACTATTCACTGTGGCAAATATACAATACACAGATTTTATTCTTGTATTATTATACACAGTTGAAAAAAAAAGTAAAGTTAAAGAAATGGAGCATCTTCAGTCTGCCATCAGACTGTACAACAGGAGTCGGACTCTGACATCACTCAGTACACCCCACCCCCCTCCCCCAGTCACAAACACACACACTTTTTCCACAATGTCTGGCACACTCATGACACTCACACTGCTCTCCCTCTGGTGGAATGATTCATACATTCTGCTCTATATTTTGATATATTCTGTTATATATTATACTAAACCTATTATTTTCTATATTATACATTACATTCATGTGTTCATTCAGGCCCGGTGGATTCTTGCAAATGCCATTAGGAGCACTAGGAGGAGCCAGAGGAGACTCAATTTCTCACAGATGACCCGTCTCATGAACTAGTGTCAGGATATAGTTAAAGTTTCAGAAAATATGACAAAAAGTTACCTACTGCAGCTTTAACTGCTCTTGTATAATCTATAGCAGGGACTGCTGAACTTTCTGGCCCTCCATGATCTCCTGGGCGGTTTTAATCACTTGCTGCAGTGTTCCTGTCCTGATCCTTGCACATCCTGTGATGCCAGTTTGTGATGTAATCTGTAAAAGTTAACAAGAACTTGGCATCGGAATTCTGCTCTCTTAAATTCCCTTTAGAAATACAGTCATGAGACTGTACTAATCTCAACAGAAAGCTGTGCTGCAAACTTGCAAACAACAACAGCAAACACAGCAGCAAGCAATTTTCACTTTCAGTTTTTTATTTCTAAAACTGTTCTGTGCTATGGTTTACACTACCACCATAGCACAGAGGGAACACAGTTTTTCCTCCCTTTATACTGAGTAGTGTTTATGCAGAAAAGAAATCATGCAGTTGATCAGTTGACAAACAAAATGCAGATTTTTTATTTATACCTCAAACATTTCATTATGGTTGTTAATATTCACATGAAGTATAAACTGACCATGTGAATGTTAGCATGCTGATGTTAGCATTTAGCCCAAAGCACTGCTGTCCCTTAATCCAGGTGTGATTCATTCTTGGAATTTACCCCATCCACTGTGCCTCTAAATACAATGCATTTAATAACATGAAGTCAACAATTCAGCTTTCAAATTCATGCTTTGCTAATGTAAAACTTCACAAAGCAAATTCATGCTTTGCTAATGTAAAACTTCACAAAGCATATGTGTGTGTTTATGTTGGTAACGGGTTACATGTAGGGGTGAACCACATCTCCAGACTGCTAACAAGAACCAACAGTGGAGTTAATGTCTGGCTTCTATTATCAACTTCCTGCTGTGACTTCTTCATGGCTCTGGAGCATGTGATTGATCTGCAAATAATTTCATCACTAAATAAATCTTGGCTTCATTTTATGGCCAGAAATCCATCATCTCATATATATTTTCCAGCTGTTGTGACCATGGTCTGATCTATATTCACAGGAATTGGCCTTCTCATCATCCATTTTGAATAGAACAATCCTGAAACTAACAGTCGTCTGTCCCAAGGAGCTACGTCAGAGATTATTGCATACAACATGAGGCTGATTTAATAGTCTTCTATCAAGCACTCTATTGTTATGGACCTTTCAAAATAAAGAGCAAAATTGAAAAATAATGAAGCTGAGGTTTGCTGGCGACGGCGCAGGGTGCTGTCTGTTTTCCCTCTGCAATCACTGCAGATCGTAGGAGACCCAGATCAACACTCGATGGTCCAACTGAAAACCACATTTATCTGTTTACATTAAAGTCTTTAATTATAGGCATAATTCAAGCCTACCCTCCTTAAAGGGGGTTACTTTTATGGTTTAATCTTTTCATTAAATATAATTAAGCATGCCAGTCTGCTCCCAGTGCCGCCACGTAGCTTCACTGTGGTGAGACTTGTAGTGGTGCCATGAGAAAGGTCATGAAACTAAAGGTCACAGGTTTTCATAACCAGAAGGAGTTTAAGTGATGCTGTGTGTCTTGTCAAATTGTGCTGAATCCATGCTTGCTCCGTCATTGTATGGCTCTGTAATTATCAGGATGTGGTCTGTGGTGGCTTTGGACAGCGCTGCACTGGTGAGAGTTGTGTCAGTGCAACAGTACAGTCTGTTATAGTACCGCTGTAATGTCAAACATAACCCCTCTTTATAGATTTTCTCTGTGCTACAAATACTTCCACTGTTTGCAAAGCAAACATGAAAAAAGCTTCATTTATTACATTGTCTGCCCAGCAGGGGGCAGGATAACTGCACATTTAGGCAGACTGATACAGCTGTGGTGTTTTAAACATTTACAGTATTTCTAATATAAATTATTATACACATATGTACACACATACACAAAGCAACGTATAAACTGTCTCCATCACTTCCTGTAATCCTAAACGGAAGGACAAGTTCCTTTTTCCTGCAGAAGTCCACACTTTTTGAGTTTTATACATAAGACAGTGACCACAACCACTGAAGCCATCAGACAGTGTGTCCTCTAGTGTCCTTGAGTTTGGAGCAGTTAGTCTGGCCTGCCAAAACTTTAATCTAGTGTTCTAAATGCAATCCTTTTAAAAAATGTCATTATGTTTGAAGTCAGAGCCATTGGCCCGATTGAAAATAATGCAGAGCCATTTGTCCTTTTTGGTACAGGAGTAAAATATCATATCTTTATCACAGTGACTAATTCCACTCTCCTCACACGCTCTTCTTCACATATGGATCCTTATGGGAAAATCATATCCAATGTGGTTGGATCTGTCAAATAGAACTGAGGCTGCCACTGTACATATAGTATGTTTCTATGGAAACATGGATGTATTATGCATTTATTTAAAGCCCCAGTTTGTTCTTGTTCCTACAGTGTGATGTTTGAATGATGTATGTGCAGAGTTTGATTCTAGAAGGATCTTTTTATATTCATCTGCTGAAATTGGAAAGTTTCTCTGAGCTCATTGAAAAACGGATTTTTAAAGGGCGTGGCCTACGAGCGGGATTTTTGACGTCACAATGAGTTTGGAAGTCAGTCCTGGTCCAGTGCACCTCCCCTGAGAATTGGCTTTACAGTGAAGTAGGAGACATCTTATGTCCAGAAGGAAAACTCGAACTACATTTCCGTATTCATAGAATCTGTCATTTTTAATGAGGTTGAAGGAGTAGATTACTTTTTTAAGGATTTGAATGTATTTTTTTATTTTTTTTGTGGAAAGATCTTTAGGGAAAAAAACATTTTTCTTTTTTTCCCCAATTCCAAGTCAGCCAACTTAACAAGACCATATCTTAGTAGTAGTATGCAGTACGAAACTAAATAAAAATAAAAATAAACTCTCAATGATTCATTGTTCACCATTCAACATCCTGTATAATTTCTGACAGCACCTGAAGGCAGCAGTGTTGTGTTCACGCCCCCTTTGAAAAACCCCTCCTTCCACAGAAACAGTAAATATGCCGAGTATGTGGCATCACTCAGTCAGTGTAGTAAAGTCTGCTGCCGGACCACTGCACCGCCGTCTGGATACACACTGAACACATCCAGCTGGAGCTCAGCCGCTTTCACGTCTTCACTTTACCTGCTTTAACGTAAAGGTAACTCTTCTTATTCTACCACACTGTGTTGAAACTATTGCTGTAGATTTTTAATATTAAATAAGTTAAATGTATTATGTGGGTGTCTGTGCTCCAGTCTGTTGAATGTAAACTAGCTTTAGGGCTGTGCAAGTGAATTTCTTTAGTGTCGCAGTTCTTAATTGCTTTAAGTGAGTAACGTTAATCATTTGGTCACTTTTTTGGAATTTATAGCAGATAGAAATTAATTTAAGAAGAGCAAAAGGTTGCTAAACTTCGCACTTTGACAATATTCACAGTTTTTCATTAGTTCATTTAAGTTAAAACAAACCAAACCAAGGAACTAAAGTATAACGTTAGTATCTAAAACATGCTAGCTTACATTAAGTGATGTTCAGCTACAGTGTTATAACAGGTTGACGCTGCGTTGTGTTCAGGTCGAAATGGAACTAATACCCTCTAACTCACTTTACCCACTGAAATGTCGGACAGGACAACAGAAATGAACCATTCTTTTCCAGAAATGTAGTCAGACGAAACAATTAAACTTCAAATAATCGTTTCCACTTTCAGCTGATACTCTCGGTCCAGCTGCCACTATCGGTTCAATACTGTTTGAAGGGTCAGAGAGGTCACACTGTCTATTGACTGTAAGTCCTCTGAAAAGTTATGTAACGAGTGCCAGGAAAAGAAATCAATTCAATTAAAAACCAGATATAAGCTGATATAACGGTAATGCATGCCAGAGTTCACGCAATGAAAAGGTTTAGTGAATCACACTTGCTTAAAGGAACAATAAAATGTCATTAGTCTTGGTTGGAACATTATAGTGTCCAACGATGATCTCAATGCTGTTTCAGATTGTTTTCCCAGCACAAGCACTGAATGAAATTAGTCAGATTTAAAGTACATATTCATCTTGGGCAAGTCTAAAAGTATCAAATGAATCAAACACACCTGAATCCTTCACCTCACCTTCCCACTGAACTCTGGGAAACTTTAAATAGACTGTGGTCGTCTGTACAGGCCAACTCAAAGACATTTCAATCAAAGTACACATCAGCCGACTAGTTGGCCTGTACGCTTCAACGCCGACCTTCTCATCCCACCCAAACCCCTGAGGGAAGTTTAAGGGTAATGTTTGTGGTCTTTTGATCCCCTCTCATGCTCGGGCCTGCTCTACAGTCTCTAATCCGGCTGGGAGGAGGACTTACTGACTGACAAGATTAATAGTTCCTACTGCTTTTCAATTAATTAGGAATAATGGTGCTTTATAATTTTAGTCTCCAAAGTAGAATATCACAGCAGGCCTGCTTTGCGGTTCAGCACAAGGAAAGTCTTAAAATGTTAAATTTGTCCCTCATGGAACCTCACGGACGCCCTCTTGACACATTTTTAACGGGGAGTGAGTCTGTAATTACAGACAGATGCACATGTGAGTGAGGGAGTGAGTGGCTGCATCGTGTGGGCTCTGTGCGGTAACAACAGTGTTTACTTCATGCTCACACTTCTTCTTTACTGTTTGCTGTTTGTATCCTGCAGCCACATCCCATCAGACAACAAAAGCCCTGAGGCACGGCGCCCTGACACATTCCTCCGGGTATTAGTGTGCCCTGTTGTTTAGGCCGAGCTCCTTTGCATTGTTTTTTTTTTTTTTCGTTTCTTTCAGAGAGGCAGTTGTGGCCTGGAGCGGTGGTTTTCAATTCAGCCAGCAATATTTCAAGCAGAAACCCAGCAGTACAGGTGTGGTTAAATGCAGATGTGGTTATCACAATATGGATCAAGAACGTTAGTGCTTTAAATATGTATAAGCACTCACTGACTTTCAGGTTATTAAAAAAGCTATAAAACCCCGAAACAGACTTAGAGTCTGGCTTATTGCCAAGTAGGTACAAGGTACGAGGAAAATATAAGTAAAGAGGAAAACAGAGAAATATAAAATCGACATTAACAAATTAAAAAAGATTATAAAGACAATACAAGAAAAAAAATGGCATGGGAATGAGGAACATGCTCCTCTCCATCAAAATACCATACCAATACCATTTATACCCCAGTAAACTAAAATCCAATCATCTGAATTTCTTAAACTGCTTCACCATCATGTCCAAGTGCAAGGGATAAACTATGGGGCATGAAATGTGGAAAAAACGCCAATGACCCTCTCTAGAGCCAGTGTTTGGTTAGGGTTAGGTCCGTTGTTAAAAATTGATTGGATTCATGAAGTTGACGTTATCTGTACAGTATAAAGTTGCATTATTGTGTCTCACTTCTGAATGTGTTTTAGGGAAATGTTTGTATTTATCATGCTGTCACAACTACAAACCAAACAGACATGGTACCAATACCAATGTGGCTTCATATCTTTCATACTATTTTTTAAAAAGGCCATAAAAAGTCTTTTTAACCTGTTAAAACCTGCAGAAACCCTGAATCAGGTGCTGTGGTTACAGTTACAAATCCTTCAGGTGGAAACTTGTGAATGAATGAAGAAGGGTGTTGCTGAAAAACATTCAGGCTCCGTTTCATGGTCACCAATCCTTTGGGAGTAAGCACTGAAAAAGTCCTTTGTTTTCCAAAGTTCTGATGAGAACACATCAGAGCAAGTAGAGGAGGAGCAGACAAAGTAACCCTAATCCAGATGCTTCAGCCTCTCTTATCGTCTCTACATCTCTTCACAGAACCACAAACCATGCCAAACTGGGGAGGAGGCAACAAGTGCGCAGCATGCCGTGGGACAGTTTACCACGCTGAGGAAGTGCAGTGTGACGGCAAGAGTTTCCACAAATGCTGCTTTCTCTGCAGTAAGTACAGCTGTGACACCCACACTTCTGGACTGAGATCACATTTAAAGGACTATGGCACTGTTGCACATGGAGTAGAAACTGCATATATTTTATGTCACTGTTACATTTTCCAACATAATTTTACCTTCTTTCCCACCCCCATTCAGCCACTGAATTTATGTTTTTTATATACATTATGAAGAGCAGTTTATCAGTCATAGGGAGTACTGCTCCTGCTGCTGTGTGCAGCTGTGCAGCAGCTTCCTAACATCTGAGAAAACAACGCTATCCCAGCGTGAGTAGAGAGATTACACATTTGTAACACAAAGCCTGTTTTACTGGGGCATGGAGTTTGAGGGACATGGGCATTTACCAGGGGTTGATGGTCCTACAGAGGTATTTGAGTTGCATTATGGGAAATGTAGGATCCTGCGATTTTGGAGCTTTTTTCCCAAGCTAGGGAAGTCAGGATATCTCAGCCTGTGCTACTTCAATTTGGAAAATTCTTTTTTTTAACCTTTCTACTTTGAGCCCTCGGCTTTATGAAAGTTCAACACTAAATCACTGGAGTACCCCTTTAAATTGTGTTCTTGTCATAAGTAGATTTTAATTGACTACGGAGAAAGTAAGTAAGTAAAGTGAAACCTAGCAGACAGGCATTGAGAAAGAATGTGAGAAACATTGTGAAAAGGATAATGTAAGCTTTTTGAGTGGAAAAAGGTCACTGAAAGTTAACACATGAGAGATTTCCCATTAACACTTAGACAGACACGTGTTCTTTTGCTTTGAAGAGAGGGTCAGCTCTGACATTTCAACATCTGTAACCTTGCCAAAAGTCTTACGCAATTATGTTAACATTAGTCCTGCCAAGAGCAGCTATTGCATCAACCTGCACACATTGTTTGTATTTATAATATAGTATGTGGCTGTTTCTGCTGTGTAGTTGGTTCAAGCTGCAGAGAGCCATGAAAGATCAGAGATGGAAAGACGGTGGACTCGGTTTCACCTCTTCACGGCTCATCAAAGGGAGCCTGCGCTGACATTTCTCCGAGTGGTCATCGGTTGTCGAGTTCACACTGCATTATTGTCATTTTGTTGGACGGGTGGGCGGACTGTCCTGCTCCTGAACCATCCTTGAAATGTCAGCAAAGATGTCCCAGCAGAGACCTCGCACGGAGACCAGGATTATACAAACGCTTTCATTTAGCTGCTATCTAGATGAGAAGGAAAGCAATCTGAGCCACAAAAGATGAGTTTATTTTTTCCAGTGGTTTCCATACAAAGGCAGCTTTGTCTCACACTCCTACTGAGGAGATGATGAGCAAGGACTTGGTGTCCTTGGCTCTGTTTTGGCCTTTCTTCCAGTTTCTCAGTTTGACCACTTTTTATTTCTGCATATGAAAGGCAGTTATGTAGTGACAGAAGTGTCACACAGTTACAAACAGCCTCATACGATGCTTTGTACAATAACTGTGGCTTTATCTTCTTGATTTGCTTATAGTCTTTGCCAGTGGCAGCGCATGACAAGTAATGATAGTGGAGAGGGACTGGAAATACTAGAAACCGTAACAATCGCAACAAAGACCGCCAGGGAAATATGAGGATTTTGGAGCCATTTGATTGGACATGCAGAAATCTTCTATCAAGCCTTTACTTTGAAAATGTTGGCTTCAAGATCAGAGAGACATGAGTGCGGAGACATTTTTCCAGCCAGTTGTGTGAAATCTCAAACCAGCATCAGACGGTCACCCAGTGCAGGCCAGCGTGTGAACAATCCCTGAAGCCACTGCAATTCTTTTGTTTCAAACAATGCTTTCTTTACTTTGTACAAACCAGCCAAAAATGGATTTCTCCAACAGATACTGTACATTGTTTGAATTAAAATGTAATAAACTCAGTTGAAGGAGAATTCCTGAAAGGAATTACTAGCAGCTCAGGTGTAAAAACTGAAAGAAGATGAGAAGTGTAAGCACTGAGAACAGTTGGGACATTGGGCGTTGTAGGACTTTGAAGAGTTGAAGGAGTTTTTTTGATCAAAGGTGAAGATTTGTCAGGGTTTGAAGTGTCAGTTCAGGTGTCAGTTGCTAAGTGGTAAAAGTAGTAGTTGTCAGTAAGTGTAATGTAATGAAAGCATTTGAAAGTGTAAGTCAAAGAGTTTAAAGTTGAACAGCTCTCAGTTTCACCATTTTCTTTTTTTATTATTTAACACTTTATCTACTTTAAGTAATAACACTTGCAGCAAAAACATATTCCACTCTTGTAAATCCCACAACTTCCACTGCTCGTACAGTTTACTCCAGCTGCTTTCAGTTCAGCCAACACTTCAACTGACATCTTTCACATCTTTTTATACACTTGGCTAATTTCTGTCAGTAATTCCACTTCAACTGACCCCTCCAGCTTCATTTATTACTCACACTTCAGCTGACATTTCAAAATCAATTCTTAAACTAAAATCCTCTTTTGTGCACACTCCCATATTGACACTTCAGCGTCTCTCAGCCCTTCCATTTTAACCGACACTGATACTGTATTTCTTTGTTAGGTTCACAGTAACACCATTATGTAACTCCTTCTCTCTGTGTGTCCTCAGTGGTCTGCAGGAAGGGCTTAGACAGCACCACACTGGCTATTCACGACCAGGAGATCTACTGCAAGTCCTGCTACGGGAAGAAGTACGGCCCCAAAGGCTACGGCTACGGTCAGGGGGCGGGGACGCTCAACATGGACCGAGGAGAGCGGCTGGGAATCAAACACGAAGAGTAAGCCGGGCTGCTGCGTGAGCGCTGAATGTTACATAATGCATATCAAGGCTGCAAGATGATTGTATGCAGTACTGAGATGCACAGGTTAGAGTCACTGTGACTATTTGTTAAGATAATCGTGATCAAGATGATGATTTTGATGAACCAAAGTTATCTAAAGCTATCTAGCTATGTAAAGGATGCTGTTTTTCACAAGTCACATGTTTTAAATAGCATTCCAGGCAGCTCTGCAATGTTTCTATCTGATGGCATGATAAAAAACAACAACATATTTAGATGCAGTTTTACAGTAAAAGCCCTGCAGATCTGCCAGTAAACAACAAAATTACTTTACATTTTTATTGATTTAATACAACACAAATGACATGTTGAAATGCCTGAATAAGAGATCGTTCAGCCCACTTAATTGCACAAGTGGCTGCAGTAAAGTCGACGAGGTCAGCGAGTTCAGTGGCGCACTGATGTGTAAAGATGTTTATAAGTTGTGGCTGCTGACTCTGATAGTGCTATTGTCTCCAAACAGCATGCACTCATGCTACCCAAAGATACTTCACATAGAATTCTATTTTTTTGCCCTCCACTAGTGAAGCAATAACCAGAGAACAGCATGAACAGGAGTCAGTTGACCTCTTTATCAAGTCCAGCTTAGCTGCAGCAGTTCCCAGCTGGTTTTGGTGGACAGTGTGAATCCAAGAAGAGAAAAGTCAAAGTCTGAAATTCAGAATAATGATCTAAGACTTTCATACATCATCTAATCCATTGCCTGGAATGGGATGGGTCTACTTTCTTGGCACTTATACTGCAAAATGACATCCACTTCCAAGTCCTGAAGAGAGTGTTGGACTGCAGATGTATATCCGTATATACACATGATGTGGAAATACCAAAAACAAACAGGAAAACAGCCCCACACACACGCCTAGCCAGAATGTTTACTCCTGCAAGCAGACGTCAGGTGACGGCTGTTATGAAAGAGTTTCTTATGTAAGGATCCCGCGTTCCCTCTTCTCTGTCCTCTCTGCCACAAAGGGCTTCATTCAGGGGCCACTGGGGCTGGCAGTCACCCTTCGTTAAGCACCGCTCCAGGGCCCCGGGGTGCCCTGCTCTCTCTCCCACCACTGGCTGCGCACAAAAGGATAGTAGAGGGTGTGCCAGGTTTATTTCTGGTCCTCTTGTCTTTTAAAAATGATATTGCATTTTCATTTATAAAGTCTCAACAGATATTCATTAGTAAAGAATGAATGTTTAACTGATTCATAACTCAGGTATTTATTACTGCAGAGGTCAGCGTTTTTGGTCCTGCTCGGTAAATGAGTAAATGTTTTCACAAGACAAGAGGAGGTTGTGACCTAAAGGGGAAGTGTTACCAATATCACATATTCAACAATGAAAAGAGTCTTTGTACAGAATGATCTGTATGTATGCTCAGCCTCAGCCTTTATATGACTAGATCTTGGAGATTTTAGACTTACTGAATGACAAGTGAATATTTTTTGCCAACAGTTTTTCATGCGCTCCATGTGCTTTTTTCCCCCAGGACACAGACTCACAGGCCGACCACCAACCCAAACCCATCCAAATTTGCCCAGAAGTTCGGCGGCTCAGAGAAATGCGCCCGGTGTGGAGACTCTGTCTATGCAGCCGAGAAGATCATGGGAGCAGGCAAGGTGAGAGTTTCATCTAAAGCATCTTCTACTAAGGCAATGCCTCTATATTGTCTCACAAATCAAATCCAAAACCTAAAGATATGATATTTACTAGTGTTGGAAGAAGTATTCACCGCTTACTTAAGTAAAAGTAGCAATACCACACTAAAGGAATATTCCATTACCAGTTAAAGCTCTGCTGACGAGTAAAAGTATAGAATTTTTAGCAACAATGGCTTGAGCGAGCCAGAGAGAGAGCACCTTTGGTCGAGCTACATAGAGAATCAATAAGAAGAGGGAGCGACATTAGTGAGAACAAAGCAGTGAATCAGAGAAATAAAATGATTTCTGATTGTTTCATAAGAAAATACAGACAGAGGGCCACAGAGGGGCTGTAATGATTGACAGTATTCAATTAATCAACCCAATTAATTTCTGCATTACACTATTTTGGATCATTGTTCGTCTCTGTATCTAGAGTACAGCCAAAGGTTGTGTTTGCAGAATAAAGAACACACTCTGGATACAATATACACTGTCAGCCTTTAAATTTAGGCAAAGATATTAGCCAAGTTAACTATTTGGCCTTCACTAGCGGAGCCAAGTTGCAAAAATGATGACTCTTGGCTCAGGCGACGATTCATTAACATCAACGGAGAGTGTCCAACTAGGCTGGGCCTGGCAAAGGGATCTTGTACCCCAGACTTAAAGAATGTGCTCCTGCAACTCTGTTCTGATGTTACTTGTCGACACTAATGACTAATGTGTTCCACCGAAGTGAAGCTGCAGGAAAGAACAATAATTATATACAGTCCTAGCATGAGCAGCCCCAATAGAAATCCAACCTCTACTCCACAGTGACCGCAATCTACATCACAAACCACGGGGGTGGCTGGATTGAATGCACGTGGTTTTTACAGTGCTGAACCACACGCAGGAGGTTTGGTGTGGTCTCTCCTAATGACAGAACACAAATCCTGTTTTTCTGGTTGAAGCCGCTCCATAACGTCTGGATGGGGGCTTCTGAGCAGCTGGCGCTGATCGCATGAGGCTGTCCGGTGTGGGCTGGCAGTTGGTGTCAACACACAGATTTACAGTAGATGAAGTCATGAGGGTGTTTAGTTCCGAGGGAGAAGATCGGGGCGCCTCAGAGCAATCGCTCTCATGAAAACCTGTCCGCATAGGAGCAAAGATTTGTGTTCGGAGGAATTCTGTTTCCTCTGCAAACGGGAGTGGGCCGCTTCCTGTCGGCCATCACATGTGGATTCACACATGTGGGCTGATTTATGGCAGGTGATGTCATCGGGCGGAGAACTGTTAATGTGTTTCCTAATGGGTGGAGGCTGCACTCATTGGCTGAAGCATAACATGTCATTTGCAGTATAATGAAGACATTCAGAAATGCCTCCGGGCTGATGGAAAGCTGAGCGGCTTTGATGGGATTAGATGAAGGAAATTATGACATGTGCTTCAAGAAACATCTGTAATTATCAGCTGTAATTACCTGCAAACGCAAAATAGTTTTTTTGTCTGGCTAGAGTTTTAACACTACAAGGCTGACAATCTGAGGTAGATCTAGCATAGGTCATGTAGGTATGAAATCAAAATTCCCTCTCTCCTCACAGCCGTGGCATAAGAACTGCTTCCGATGTGCAAAATGTGGCAAGAGCCTGGAGTCGACCACTCAGACTGAGAAAGACGGAGAAATCTACTGCAAAGGTGAGACACAACGTCTGAGATCAAACTAAATATGTGCAGTGTTTGATCACAGCATTACGTTCCTGTTGCAGCTGTTAACCCCTGATGGATTACTGTCATTACCACGATTTCACAGAGAGCCAGGAATAACACGAGGTGAAATAATATTTGTATTAGCCAACACATGCATTAACAAAGAAGAGAATAAATCCACAATGCAACGCTGTCATAGTGACATGAGAAATTGGGATAGTGATCCAGCAGCAACACATGTTAACACTTAAACATCCATTAATAAGTGATGTTTTAGTTTACTGTGTGATCACTGACATGATGGCCCTAAATGCACCCAAACTGTAGTTCTACAACACAAAGATCCTGGCATGAAGACATGGTGTATATATAAACAGAATACCTGATTAACTTATGGCTCTGCAAAGACATTAGCCAAGCTGATTATTTGGCCTTCACTAGTTGAGACAGTTACAAAAATTCGGACTCTCAGCTCAGGGGGGTTTGTGGGTTGTCGTGACGACACTGATGTTGAGTGTACAGATAGGTTGTGTCCCGAAATCTGATCTTCCTCCACAGACTCCTGCTAGTTTATGCTGCTTTCACCAGTAGACCTAATGACATCCACATCAGCTTCTTGTACTTTATGTTTAGTGCTAATCAGTGCACGCTAACACGCTAAACTAAGATGGTCAACATGGTAAACATTATACCTGCTAAACATCAGCATCCTAGCATTGTCAGCATGTTAGCAAGCTGAGGTTTAGCTAAAAGCCCGGCTTTATTTTTCGTCGAAAGAAGGGACCCCATTTCATCTTAGGCTGCGTTTAGACCGCAGGCCTAAGTGACCCAGATCAGATCGAATACAGATCTGATGTTTTACAACCTGACCTCAGTGTGAACAGTCATATCAGAATTCACATGACCTTTACTTCACTATAGACTGACATTCATCATGTGGATCGCTTCAGGACGTCACCTGTTCACTCTGGAATCTGATGTGGGACACATTTAAGACATAATGTGCACAGCCAAACAAATAAAATCTGCTGTGAGCAGTAAATCCAAACCGAGCACTGAGGCAGTGTGAAAGTGGTAACACCCACACTCCCAGACTGGTTCAGACTAAAGAAACAAACAGTGCAGTGTAATCACACTGTGACAATTCAACCTGATCAGCTAAACACACAACCCAGCAGACCAGGACGGAGCCGTGCCTTTGAAACCAGGGATCTTGTTGCCACAGCAACACATGCTACTGCAAATCTAATGACTGCGAAATAAACACTGAAATGAGTTTACCCTCTAGATTTACATCTAGCTTTACAGCATTATGCAGAGAGCAGCTAAGTCACCACTGGCAGCTGCTGTGATGGTATCAGCAGAAACAGACCTGGAGGACACGTACACTCTCTCACACTCACTGTGCTCACAGATCACTGGTAATTCACGTATTTGGTGTGTGGGTTTGGCTGGACCACCAGACTGTAGTGGGCAGGAACATGTGCAGTGCGACCTCCACGGTGATTTCACTCTCCTCATTAGCTCAATGAGATGGGACGCACGCACACACACACACAGACAGACACACAGACGTGAGCAGATGTATGTTTGCTGAATGTCACAATGAAACCTTGTACTGAGGAGGAGGAATGTTGCATCTCAGCTTAAAACCTAAACAGGCCACACTGCTGCTGCTGCTGCTGCGATCAGTCAGCGGGTTTGAGACATCCTGTCTCTGTCTGAGCAACAGCTGGAACATTGTTTCCCTCATCATGAACATTCTGAGGACAGATGTGGACGGCAGACCTGAGATGTCACAGAAAGAAAGTTTAAGCAATTATCCAAACAGTGTAGTTTGAAACAAGCAGTGGTTGGCAGAGAATTAAAACAAAAGTCCGAAATTCTGCGCCTCAGTGTCTGACCACAACCTGAGCAGAGAGCATATTTTAGACATCACAGGCTGATGGGAGATAAACAGCTCTGAGTGTTAGAGCTGGGAAACTGCACACACACATTTATATTTTAGCAGATTAGACCTCAACGATGTGCAAACAGCAGCTGGAGCTCACCGCAGTGTACTGCCAGTCACTAGTGATTGGTTCATGGTGCCCCAAACACCAAAATGAAGTTAAATCTCTACAGCAACATCTGGTTCTATAAGGGAAGTTATGTAGCTCAGTGATACTTGATATGGGAGAAAACAGGCTGACCTGAAGGATCTTTATTTAGGATAAAAAGTTTGTCTGTCTGTCTGTCTGTCTGTGTGTCATGTTAGCTTTGCTGCACCTATTAGGGTGGGAAAAATTACACCTCTATCACTCTTATTGGAGCGTGAGATCTGTGATGTAATGAATTCCCATGAAAGCTCAACCTGAGCAACCTGAGAATAAGTGAGAGCAGCCAGTTGAGGTTCTGGTATTTTATCTGTGTTCAAACTGCGTAGTGTGGAGGTCTGGAAGAAGAAAGACAGATTTGCTCAATGTGTTTACCTCAATATTGAAAATTAGTTTACTGGAAACCCCACAACATTCGAGTAGATTAAAAACAGATTCTTTTGATGGGAATGTTGGCTGTTCACATATGAAAGATTTCATTTAGCCCGATACGTTCACAGGATTTCACTTTTTCTTTCTCCTTTTCAGTGTAACATGTATTTGCATTAACATCTTGCACATAAATATGTTATTTTAAAGCCTATAATGTATTTTGTCCTTTGGTTTTATGTGCTAGCATCATATTTTGGATGTTGGATATATAGCAGTGTCTTGTACTCCCATAAGGGATGGTCCACAGCTTTGGCACGACATGGAAATAAAAAGTAACCAACGTAATTCACACGCTGGTGAGGTTTCTTCCGTCTATGTGAAAGCTTCCTCGCTGTCTTTCAGTATAAAGCCAGTTTGGCTGATATCATCCTGCAGTTTTGGAACAACAAAATCTGCAGCTAGTTAACGTTTCTCCTCTGCTCTCGTTCCCTCCACAGCGTGTTACGCCAAGAACTTCGGGCCCAAAGGGTTCGGTTACGGCCAAGGAGCCGGCGCTCTGGTTCACGCTCAGTGACGGCTGAATCGCCCCGACAATCACGATACATTCCCCTCTGTCCTACGTGAACATCGACCAGCTCGTCTTTTCTTCCTCAAATGCTTTTATGTTGAAATAGGTTCTCATGATACAAATAAAAACATTAAACCAAAACACTTGTTCACATTTGACTGTATTTTATTATTAAAGCCATTAAAACTGAACCATGCCCATATGTTTACATCTGAAGCGGAGTTACAGTGATGTCTGAAGGTGGGCAGAGAGGCACTGGAAATGATTATGTGCTTTATCTTTTTTTATTTTATTATCCCATATGGTGAGATGAGAGGGGAGACAGAACAGACTCATTAGGCTGCTGGAAGAACTAGTGAGGGCTGAAATGGCTTTTGAATTCATGTCCTGGATGAGTGCTGCCCTAAAAAAAAACTACAACATTTACCTCCTGTGGCTTAAAAGGCCTTATTAGACAAACGTGGTTGGTTACTGGCGCTGATATGAAACCTACAGCCGAGTCCACGACCTTTGACCTTTAAAAGCGCACAGAAAGTAGCCGCTGTGTCGTCTTTGTTAGGGCAGATGTGACATCAGTGGTTGGTTAACGAGACTTTGGGGGCGTGAAATGTGGAATGACGACACGACCGCCCCCCCCCTTCTGACGATGCAAACACGAGGCCCACAAGTTTCGGAGGCCTTCACGTAATATAACCTCCCTCTATCCTTAAAACTATTGCATGATCACATTTCAGCTTTTAGAAAACAAAAACAAAAAAAATGTGGCGTCTGCCTTAGTTCTCTAGTGTCTTTGCTTTACAATTTGTACATCCAGTGGTATAACAAACCCAGCGGTATATGACATAGAAATTAAAAAATAAAACAACCCTTTAGGATGACTACAGAGTCCACAAGCATGGAACATTCAAATATATTACACACTTGCACAGGAGGGCCCGACAGGAGATCTGGCGACCTGAAAGAAAACTTCCACTAAACACACACTGGATTTGAGAGAAAGAAACTAATTTAAAAAAACAACTCAACAGACAAATGAACGTAATGCAGAAAAGTACTTGCAAATACTTAACATTCACTATATACAGACACGTGGCTTGCCGGGCTGTCACCATGGAGATGACGATGGGGGGGGGGTCAGGTCGACGGGGACGGCGAGAGCCCAGCTGTCCCAAGCGTCGTACATGCATGGAGTTTCTTGGCAGGGGAGATTTGGGGTATTTGGGGGGGTGGGGGGGGGTTGAAATGCCTATAGACAGCAGTGTCGGACATCACTAAAAGCTACAGTCATACACTTGGAGTATAGTCACTTGATTCTCTTCTTTCCGTTTGGTTGGAAGAAATCCCCCAAACTCAAAAGAAAAGAAAAAAAAAAAAAAATCATTTCCAGGAGCACCTTCGACTCACACTGACCAAAAACAAACAAACAAAAAAAAACTTACAGAGAAAGGTATTGTTTATGTACAGATGCACATTCTTTACACTTCAGTCCATCCTGCTGCTCTAGGAGCCGACTGCACGGGGGGGGGGTCCAGACAGGAAGTGATGGGAGTTGGCCACGTCTGATGGGCCCCTCCTCCTTCTCCTCCTCCTCCTCTTCCTCCTCTCTGTAAACAATGGAAGCGTCGGCGTGAAGCGGCGCTGCTGGGCCCTTGTGTTCAGTAACGGCCAAAAACAAAAACAAAAACAAAAACAAAAAAAAACTCACACAGGAAAAAAAAAAACAAAAAACAACGATCAGTGCAATGTTGTAGGCAGACAAAAGACGAACAAAACAAATAAGACTTTACAGCTTTTTGAGAGAAACACATGGAATGAACCGTCCGTAAACTCGTCTGTCTTCCTTCTTTTACTCTTCTACTCGACTGCTGTTAATAAATACACTCGCTGTACCGCCTGCGTAGAGTTTTATGGTAAAGATCTCGGGCTTCCATGTCAAACAGCTACAGGTACTTGTTTAATAACTCTTTCTCATAAAAACCTACTCAGCTAAAATGATGTGAAAAGTAAAAATGATGGCGCTAGAACATAGTTATTTTTTTTTTTATCTATAAATAGTTTTAAAATAAATATACCTGTATCACATTGTCTGTAGGATATCATGTCTGCAGTGCTGGAGCGCTGGAGGAGTCCCGATTCATGCACTTATAATCCTGCGTTAATACTGCACGACAACCGGTTCCTGGTTATTCATTTGCAAATAAAAATAAGAAAATCACTCAAATGTATCCTAAAATGTATTCTTCTGTGTGTGCAGCTTTATTTCAGCAGGCGAGAAGTTGGGACTCCTCCAGCGGCTCCGACACTTTCCTCTGATTTGATTGGCCAATCCTCATCAGCTCGACTCAAAAATTCATCACGGTGCAAAATCAAGACCTTAAAAAGACATTCCCTTATCTCTATCGTACTTAGAAACAAATTCATGGTTTTAAAAAGAGCAACTACTTCAGCTTCCCTGGCCAGCACAGTTATTATCACAGGAACAGCAGAGTTCCTGAACCAATCAAAAATTAAAAAGAAAAATACATACAGGGCACATCAACAGGGACACCATAAATAAGGATATAAAGTGGGGAAAGGGGAAAGAACGATACTGCCACTTTATGGCGCCGCTGTCTCCGCAGCGCCACGTCTCCGGTACAAACAGAAGAGCTTTTATTCTGTAGTTCCTCTCGTCCGTCGGCCTCTCTCCTCTCCGTTCGTGCCTGGCAGCAACGCACCGTCCAAAGGGCTCGGGAGAAGAGACGAGGTGGAGGGGGTCTGGTAGCAGTGGAGGTACAGTAATGAAGTCTGATGTTGTAGAATAGTAGTAGTAGTAGTAATAATAGTAGTAAAGGTGGTGGTGAGGGGGACGGGGGGGGGGGGAGAGGGGGGGGGGTGTTGGTGTGGTGTTTCCCCGTAACAGCATGCTAGTCCTGGCTGATTTTTTTTTCTTTTCAAAGTCTTTTGATCGGTGAGGGAGAGATGGTCCGAAAAAGCAAGCGCTCCCGAGAACAGCATCGCTCCGATATGAACGCCGGGGGGGGTGGGTGGGCGGTGGGAGGGGGGGTCGGGGAGGGTAATCCTTCCAAACTTCCTTCCACCTGGCGACACTCGACTCCCCCCTGCTCCCCCCTCCCTCCACCCTTCTTCTTCCTCCTCTTCTTCTTCTTCTTCCTCCTCCTCCTACACCAGCTGGTAGCCTGAGCCAGACGTCTGGTCGTATTCTATTGTGTACTGCGTGGTCCAGTCCACCGACACGGGCCGGATCAGACCGCAGCAGCGGATCTCGAAGAAATCTATGAGGTTTCTGAAGCAGCCATGGCTGGAGAGGGAGAGAGAGACAGACCACCATTAATATATATATAATAACCAGCTATTAAAGTAGTATTATTATTATATATTCTAACACTCACACAGACTTAACAGGCTTCTTTTTTGACAAATTCAGTGTTTTCTTGTCCCCGTCTTTGCTATTGTTCTATTAGACAATTTACCTTTCTTCACAGAAGTGAAGAAAATACTGAGATATAGGCCCACTATGTATATTTTCAGTTTTCTTACAAGCTTTAAAATCAAGAAGGCCTCACTTCCCCCGTGACGCTTTGGTAACCCCCAGGCTGGGAGCCACTTTGCTAGAGCTAAGTGAGAACATGTTTTTTCTTATTTTGGGTGAACCAATCCTTTGATTTTATCACTAACACCCTCTGAAATGATGAGATTCAGCTCTGTGCGGCAAACAAAATGAGATCATTTACTTGAAGGGGCTTTCGATGGACGTGGCTGTGACTTTAAAGTGCTTGTATCTCCGAGCGTTCATCCTCTCGTTGGTGGTGATTCCCAGAGCCGCGATCTAAGAGAGGTAAGAGAGCTCAGCCAACATTCACAGAGTGACACAGACATGAATATGCTCATGTCTTTAAAAGTGGTGTATCAAATGTAAACCCAGACCTGGTAGAGTTGACACATGATGAGCACAGCCACCCACATGAAGTGGAAGACGCTGTTGAGAAACATCCAGAACATCCAGGGAGAGCAGGAGGCGATCTGGGTAAGATAGAGCCAGAAGCCATCCTTGGCGTAACTGGTGGCGCAGTGGATCCTCCAGTCTGGGGGGGGAGAGAGAGAGAGAGAGAGAGAAAGGGAAGGAGTTAGAGAAATGGAAGGACTGAAGAAGGAAACGAGGGGAAGAAATGTATAACTTATCACTCACAGGAAATGCAGCCGTACATCATCCAGCAGATCATGCAGAGCAGGAAGAACAGATAACCCATGAAATAGCGGTGATTCCCACTTCCTGCAGAGGAGAAACAAACATGTCACCTCTCATTCTCATCACCCTCGGTTTGTGGCTTTGGCTGCCTCTGACAACTGACGGTAAGGCAAGGAAGTTCTCTGGTGAACAGTGGATGGAATGTCTACGTATTGCAATTCATCCTGAGGGGAACACGAACATGTGCACCAGACTGTACAGCGATCCGTCCAATGGTTACTGAGATATTTCAGTCTGGAGCAAAGCTGTGGATGATGGATGGACACACAGACATTTTCATCCATAGAGCCACACTGCTAGCATGGCTAAAAGACTTGAGTTACTATTCAATACACAAATGTATGCAGATGAGTGCAAATTAGGGAGCTCAACATCAGGAGAGATAAAAGGGAATAACTGCTGACGTGACCCGGTGGCTGTCTGACCAGGTTTTTGCTCCATTTTTTTACTTCCTGGAGTTGGATTTAAAGATCCCCTCTACAAGTCATACAACATATATAAATATCTTCTGCTTACAACTATAATTTATGTCTAAAAGTATTATTTCCACATTAAAATCATTCAAAAGCTATTGTTAAAAATTCCAGAATCTATGGATATGCAAACGTTGTTTCCCGCTGAACACAAGATGTCTCCTCCTTCACTGTAAAGTCCATTCTCAGTGGATGAGCACTGGAGGATTCAAGTTTCTACAATCACTGTACAAGTTGCAACACCTAAAAAACAAAACATGAAGTCCATTTCTCAATAAAACTACAACTGCACTGTAGATTCCACTGTTAGGGTTACTTAGAGCTCAAGGATACACACAGTGTGTCACACTGGATGTAAACAGAACTTTTGTTTGTTGACAAGTAAACTCCACAGGGCACCTTCAACTGCTGAGGGACCT